GTGAAACTCATTGTTCATCAGAAACAACTTCTTTTTTTAGGGCACATCTCTCAAGGTGCTTCCTTCTAAGATAAATATTTAAGGAATATATCTTTTGAACAAATTTTCAAGCACATACAAATTTGTGAACATAAATTACTTTAGTACTATTTTTACTACACATTCACTAACATTTATTGTACAAATACTATTTTTGCTAACCAATTTAATTGAAGTTTTTGGTTGGACCACCATTTGAGGTACAGATAAATTGGAGTGGCCATTGTGTCTACACACTCTCTCACATATATACACACAAACATAACATACAAATATACATGGAAGCTACTACGCAATGTCTATGGGCGAAAATGAACAGTGTTTTCGTCCACAGGCTCCGTGGCATCTGATTTTTTCAGATGGCAAGGATTAAAGACTGACATGGACCTAGCATGTCAGTAGTGGTCAAACCATCACAGACATAGCAAGTCCGTAACGATCAACAAATACGTGGAACCACCACGGACCACGCGCCGTCTGTTACGGCTCCATTCAATAAACCACCACGGACATAGTATGTCCGTGGCGGGGTAAAGCACTGTAGCATTTCGCCTATAGGTGTTTTTAATACTTTTCACACACACAAACATATATATATATATATAAAGAGAATGATTTCATGCAACGGTTGCACCTATGAGTGGTTTTCTATCATACTTGACTTATAGCTCATCATATTCTAAAGTTATTAAACAGCCATGATCATTCAATAGTATTTGAATTTTAATATTTCTTACAAATTTGATTTTTTAAAATTTAGGGCGTGTACATCTAACCAGTTCGCACAAAAGAAAAATATTATTATTTTTATTAAAAATAAAATGATAAAAAAACCCCTAAAATATTCATAGTATTAATTCGATCATTTTTATTCTTTGAATTATTAATTTTAAATTTTATTTATGTGCACCTCACTGAGGTGCACAAACCCATTAAATTTAAGGTTAATCTATTTTATACAACATTACTAAAATTCAAATACTATAAAAAAAATTATAATTGTTTGATGGATTTTCGATAGTAATGAGCCAGGAATAAAATATTATGCAAGTTCAGTCATAATTATTTTCATTTTAATATAATTCATGTCTTATAAAATTATGAATATTGTGAGGTAAGATTTTGGAAAAATTATGTATACCCTCTCACCTATAAAATTCTATGCATGGATAGACCTTCCCCGCCCCTATGGTTTAAAAAAAGAAAAAAGGTACCAAATTCCCCAATACAATTTTCTTTAGCATATAACACTATTTTCTCAAAACCCAGTCGGTTCTTTTGGTTCGACTCTCTCTCTCACTACCCAGTCGATTGTCTCTCTCACTACCCAGTCGATTGTCTCTCTCTATCTTCATTGTAGGTTGTTATTTCCTTGGATTTCAACCCTATTTCATTACAGATTTGTTCTCAAGGAGCTTAATGGGTATGACCTAAATAAGCATATTTGTGATCTATTTTAATTTCTTTGTTTTTTCATTATGTAGGTTGTTATTTCCTTGGATTTCAACCCTATTTCATCACAGATTTGTTCTCAAGGAACTTAATGGGTATGACCTAAATAAGCATATTTGTGATCTATTTTAATTTCTTTGTTTTTTCATTATGTGGATTAGATCACGCTGACAGGATCTAGTTTATTTTGTCGTATGCGGCTTTTCTGTGCTCCAGGATTTTACTGTAAAAATCTTTTTTTTTTTTTGCATAATCTATGATTTTTACCGTGATTTTCTGTGCAGTATGTTTTTCACGTTTTTTTTCTTTTGCGAAACTGTCATATGATTTATATTATAAAAACCATATGGGTTTTATCGTAATAAGATTTATATACTGTAAAAACCATATTGTAATATACTTTAGACTATGTAAAAACCATATGGGTTTTTTGAGCTAGTCTGGCAATCACGAGCCGGACCAGCTTCTGATTTATCAGACTGGTTCCAGTTTTGTATTAGATTTGTAGTAAAAGCTGGTCCAGCAGAAAAAGTGCTGAACCAACTTCTATTTATTCTTGAAGACCAGTCTCCTTGTCATACCAGTTTGAAGTTTATTATTCAAGTCAGTCCAACGCTCCATGTGCTAAACCAGTTTGAAGTTCGCATTAAAATCCGGCCCAGCATGCAGAGAGCTAGACGTACAGTGCCATCCATACGTAGTATCCCTCGATAGCGTAGATGGGAAGTTTTTAGAAAGAAACAGAGGAGAGGAGAGAGGGGTGTTCAGAGAGAATCGACGAGTAATTGTCAAAAATAAAATAGAATAAACGAGTAGATGGAGGGAAGTCCGAAAAGAACAAAGAGTGAGTGAGGAGAGTGTTTTGACATAACTCGTTACAGTCAGTGGCATTTTTGCCCTAAAGGAACTTAAAATTTGGGAAAATTAAAAAAAACAAAAAGACAAAACCAAGATACCCCAACCTAATTTTTTCTGTCATTTTTTTTCTCTAACATACACTTTTTCTACAAATACCTCCAATCAAAAAAAAAATAAAAAATGCTTAAACTATCTTTCCTTACTTTTATCTTATCCACGCCTCTTTCTCCTCTACCCACCAAAATAGGGGCTCTAGCATTATATAAGTAGGGCTCCGGTACTGTGTAAGTAGAGCTCCGGCACTATGTAAAGTGCAGTTCGACAGTAGGCTCCAGTACTGGGCACTATGTAAAGTGCAGTTCGACAGTAGGTACTGGAGAGCATTATATAAGTGGGGCTCCAGTACTTTGTAAGTGGGCTCCGGTACTTTGTAACTAGGGCTCCGGCACTATGTAAAGTGCAGTTCGACAGTAGAGCTCCAGTACTGTGCAGAGTGTAGGGCTCCAGTACTGTGTAGAGTGCGGCAGTAGAGCTCTAGCACTGTTTAAAGTACGGTCCAACAGTTTCAAAGGGCGGTCCGCAGTTGCAAAGGGCGATCCGGCAGTTGCAAAGGGCGGTCCGACAATAATCAATTTCGGTCTGGTAGTTGTCTAGGGCAGTCCAGCACTTAGGTGCTCCGACAATGTGATGGTGCGCTCTGTTAATGTGCTACTGGGTCTCTAGTAACGTGCTGCTGGGTCCAAAAGTCAACATCAAATGTGGCCTAAGTGATTTTTATGTATAAGAAGGGCATTTATGTCTAAAATAAATAAATTTTTTCTTTCCTTTGGGGAGTATTTGTATAGAAAGTTTGCTTTGGATAAAAAGTAAGAGAAAATGTTAGGTTGGGAGTAAGTTGCATAGAAAGCGTGGTCTTGGTTTTTTTTTGTAATTTTTCCTTAAATTTCAAGTGGGGGTATGCGAAGAAAGCTTTTGGAAATTGATGCAAATAAAAAACTATAACTGTACAATGCATGGAAACCTATGGTGGATAGCAGTATGTAATTTTCCCTTTGTTTTTTTTGAAATTTTGTATATTTTATGTCTATTTTATATGAAAAATTGATTCATGCAGGCTAGACCGTATTTCTATATATGCAGTCCAGAAAGTGTATAGCATCCATCTTAAAGATGGATGCAAATAGGTGTCCCATCTAAAAGCAATAGAAACTAACGGTCCAAAGTTTTCTTATTAGAAATATTATTTTAAAGTTTTCTTATTAGAAATATTATTTTTAGTTTTTAAAATTCATTTATTTTTTCATATTCATGATCTCCATGTTAGAGATTATGTGTTCTTAAATTAAGTCTTAAAATCCGTCTCAAAATTAGATTTATTAAGAGGCCTGCATTTCAACATATACGGGCTTGGCTGCATAGAAACCGGGTCTATTTTATATGTATAGGGGTAGTTTTGACTACTTTACCAATTTTCATTTTAATGTGTAATTCGCTTCATTTTTGTTGAGGCCAAAAAACCAAAAACCATATATCCGGGCAAGAGAAGAGAAATTCTTTAGAGTAAGAGAAGCCTCCTTTTACCAGCGTTTCTAAATAGAATTGGCAATGAGTCGGGCCTAATAAATAATAATAATAATAAAGGCAAAATATAGGGTTGGGCAGGGCCGACTCTCTCGTCACCTTGGCCCAAGCCCGGCCTAGGCCTTAGGCCATGGTGGCCTAGCCCTCGGGCCAAATTTGGTGGCCCAGGCCTTAGTTTACTGGGGCGATGCCAACTCGACAATGCTTGCCAACCCTATACTAAATAGTTGGCCAGCAACCAAGTGGTTTAGCACATGTATAGGGCCTTACAATATGAAATGGATTTGCATAGCATTCCACCAACCGTCAAATTCCAAACTGACCATGAGAAGTTGAAAGACTGTTAAGGGGAAGGCACACCTCAATCATCATAGTATTTTTGGATTTAAAAAATACTTGTATTTCAAATAAAAGGAAAAAAGTTTATATAGAGCCCTGGCTCTAAACAATCAAATTAGAGCTCACCTTAAAATTTATACTAGAAGAGGTTATTTTGATGCCCAAATTTCATTAAATTGATCATCTCGCCATCAAGATGCATGGACGCGAGAAAAAATGGATTTTAAAGTTTTGGAAATAATACATGATTTTAAAGTTTTAAAAATAATACATCTTGTAACGCATTTTTTTTACCGTCGATTTTCAAGATTTTCAAATTTTCATAGATTTGCTCAATCTACACTATTTTTGAAGCATTAAATTTTATAATTCAAGATTAAACCATATTTCAAAGCTATCACAAGAATTTCCAATATTGAAACCACATTTCTTGATACAATTTGAAGGTGCACTTTAATAGTGGATTTTAGCTTAGAACCTCGACTTTTATACCCTCTGATACTCTCTTTTCTTTGCCTTTTTTCTCATTCTCTCTGTACATCCAAACTCTCTTTTTCTATAATAAAACTACTCCAGTGCTGTTTCTAATTCGTGTGCACAGAAAATATAAGCAAATTACTAGTCAAAAAAAGAAAAGAAAATAAAAGCAAATTTGAGACCTTTTCTTGAGTTCCAAGAAAAAATTTGCTCAATTTATGAACACTAATTAAAGCATACAAAGGGGACAATTATTGTCTTGAGAAAGCACTCCTGCATGCCATAAAAAGGATTTACGAAATTTTTCAGCTCCTATTTCATCCACTTAATCTAACATATTGGTGAAGTTTGAAGTTTTAGGAATAGATAACCCAGTGAGTGTACTGTACAAAGTTTAAGTATACATCATCTATCTACATCTCCCATGTAAACCCAAAGTATAATAAAGCATCTCTCTCTCTCTCTCGTTAACAAATCCAATAAAACACGCACACCTGCTCAGATTCTTCCCCTCCTCTCTCACTCACCGCAGGGGAGAGTGAGAGAGATGACCTTGTCAAGACGTACAATTCTTAGAGGCAACTAGGACATTATCCTTCACTTTCTGAGAGACCCAAGTTGGGTTTGAAACTATTTTAAAACTAGTTGCTTCTGACTACAGCTGCTTGAAACCGGTGGCAAATGGCCCCAAACGTATAATATTTTACACACCAGTCACCTTGGGATTCAACAAAACCACAAAAAAAAACAAATTCAAGTCAAGAAAACCAGCACAATCACGATTTAAACTTTTAAACCCTCTCTCTCTCTCTCTCTCTAACGTAGAAGCAACTCACCATCACCAGAGACCCATTGCTCTCCCTCCAGATCACTAGAACCTCCCAAAATGCTAAATCAAACCACCATATCGAAACCCACATACAGCAGGCTCCGAAAATGCCTATTAAGCCCCCTATTTCTTCTTCCCCTCATCATCATCACCATTTCATCGATCATCACAACGATCTCAGCCCCTAACATCCTCTGCAACTCCAATGGCCAAAACACTCAACTCCCCAAACACATATTCATTCAGATTGGCAGCATACAAGCCCAGCTCGGCACCATCCTACATGATCTTCACACACAACCCCAAAACAACCAGACCCGAAAATATGCAGACTCTGTTCTAAGTATTGCCCTCTCTATAGACAAGCTCGCCCATGAGCTCTCCAAAGTGCATAACATAGAGACAGAAGAGATCAATGCCGCTAACAAAAAGAGAGAAGTGATAAAGATCAACACAGTTAACGTCAAAAGAGGAGAGAATGACACGGCTAATGCAGGGAGAGGAGGAACCAATGTAGGCAACGTAGAGAGAGAACAGGTTGATGTAAGTAATGAGGAGAGAGAAGATGGGTCATGTACTGACAGGCTCTTCATTTCAAAAGAACTCGAATATTATACAGTCCCAAAGACAAACAAAAATGGCAGGAAAAACTTCCTGGGTCTAGAGGCTATTTACCCTTCTGTTGGGTTGGCTTGTAAAGCTTTATCAGTAGAGGTGGACACATACATGGCTTACAAGCCCTATGAGCAATGCCCAGATGATTGGATCACTATCCAGAAGCTAATGGTTATGGGTTGTGACCCCCCACCCAGAAGAAGGTGTTTTTCAAGGTACCCCAAAAATTTTACAAGCCCAATTTCCCTCTCTTCATCTCTATGGAGCCTGCCTAGTGATAACCAAGTCCTATGGACCCACTACAAGTGCAAAAGGTTCTCTTGCCTTCTCTCTAAAAATGTAGATAGAGGTTTTTTCAAGTGCTCAGACTGCTTCAACTTAACTAAGCAAGCCTGGTTATACCCAACAAATGCATCAGAATCAGCAGAGTTCACTATTCAAGAGGTGTTAAAATTGAAGCCTGATGAGATAAGAATTGGGCTGGATTTCAGCCCTACAACTGGTACTTTTGCTGCAATGATGAGAGAGAAAGGGGTCACAGTGGCCTCTGCAACCTTAAATTTAGGGGCCCCCTTCAGTGAGGTGATTGCCCTAAGGGGACTCCTGCCCCTTTACCTCTCGATAGGTTCAAGGCTTCCTTTTTTTGACAACACACTGGACATTGTGCATTCTACACTATTCTTAGATGGGTGGATAGACCTAGAGTTTCTAGAATATATTCTATTTGATTGGGATCGAGTGCTTAGGCCTGGTGGCATTTTGTGGATTGATCGATTCTTTTGCGCTAAAGAAGAGATGGAGAAGTACCTGGCAGTGCTTATGAAACTTCAGTATCGAAAGCATCTTTGGAGGCTGGTGCCCAAGGTAGACAGGGAAGGGGGCGAGCTCTTCTTCTCTGCAGTTATGGAAAAGCCCTCTAGAGCTTAGAGTTGCCTCTGTATATCACCAAAAAAAAATGAAACATCGCTTTTTCTCTTTTCCCATAGCATTATCATCCATCCAACAACATTACCAAAAAATGGATCTAAAACTCTATGTAGAAATTTTGCTTTTTCTTACAGAACAAATGCAGGGTTTAGGTTACTTAGGAAAAAGAAAATAGGTTTCAGGCTATTTATGTGAGAGAGAGAGAGAGAGAGAGAGAGAGAGATTTTAGCTTAAAAAAGAAAACGACGACAGCCTGGAATAAAGAACACTGCTCAGCAGAGAGACCTGGCCATCCATTCATCACTTTTATGTTAACTTCAGATCAATTTAGTTTGAGTTATAGAATCTCCTTCCAAAATCGAACAGATCTGTCATTCCCACATGACACAAAAGCAGCCTCAGTTGGGGAGTGTTCGAGCCAGCGAGGGGGTCCGATGTGATTCGATGGCCACCTAGCAACCTTGTCATCAGTTAGAGCATCCCAGATGACTACCTGCAATGCCTTAATTTCATAAGGGGAGAGAGAGAAGAGAGACACAGAGAGAGAGAGAGAGAGAGAGAGAGAGAGATCTGACTTCGTTGTTTGGTTCATCGACAGATAGCACAAATTCTTCTGTTTCATTGAAGACAGCCTGCAAGCAATGATTTTAATGCGTGAAAAAAAGGCAAACCCAAATAGGAGGGACTTTAATAGATGAATATGTAATTCCCATAAAACACATGAAAAAAGGCAAACCCAAATCGGAGGGACTTTAAGAGATGAATTTGTAATTCCAACAAAACAATTACATTTTCTAGGGAAGATGTGAGAAATATAAAGAGGAGTATTTAAACTAGTCAAATAATAGCAAACCAGAATTTCCGTGTTCTAAAGGACACCTTAACAAGCACCGAAACAATGCAAATGTTGGATTTAGTATTGGATTTCAAGACAACCTACAAATGTGAAATTTTAAAGTACAAGACAAATTAGAATGAAGCCTCAAGCAGAGAGAGAGAAAGATGTTGATTTGTTAACTAACCTGACAACGCAATTGTGTATGGATAGCTCCGATGTACTGCTTGACTAGTCTACCACTCCCAACTTCCCACAGCTTAACTGTAGAATCTTTTCCACAAGAAAGAACATACCTGCCAATACAAATAAAGGACTTGCTCATGTTCTGTTCTTGTTTTAGCCATTGTTTTCTCAAATAGCGTTTAGAACTTGTTCATTATAGAATGCAACATAACTGTGTGGTTTACACTAATGTTAAGTATTAAGATTCTCGCTGGTAGGGTACCATGATAATGAAATGCACACGGAGTGCAGCTGATGATATAAGAGGCATACACAATTTCCTACGTGATATTTCTCATTCAAACTCTAGCTTTTTTCTCCTCAATCCATCTCTACTCTCTCTCCCTCTCTCTCTCTCTCTCTCATAGTCATGAACCACGAACCAACGTAACCAAAAAAAGCTTAAGCACCCTAAAGTGCCAACAAAGAAACTTGAATGCCCACCTTTGGTCCTTGGTGAAATTTGCACTAGTGGCCTCTACTGAACCATGTGCCCCAATGATCGATCGTACGCATTGGGCACTTCCACCATCCCATACTCGGACAGAACCATCTTTGGAGGCTGTCACATACATTCCACCATTAGATGAATACCGAACCTGCAGGCCAAAATATGATTATCTACATAACATAAGTGCCAAGATAGCTTCATTTTTTATGGTTTAACATGAGTTTTAGCAACTTGTGAAGAAATAACAAACGCTTAAGCTTGCCTGATTAATAGCGCCATTGATATTTATGTCTTGGACTTTAGCTGATAAATAACATTGGAAAGTATTGATGTCATACAAGTGCGCAATATGATGATCAGTGCCTGTACAGATATAACATCCTGATCAGAACCTCAAAAGAGAGATATGGATGTTTTGTACAATAAAAGACTATGGTGTCCGTATAAGTCTATACAAACATTATATCTAACATCTTGATATCAATCACAACAAGCAAATTTACCGAAATTTCCAGAGACCCCAAAATGCTAGAAACTCAAACTATGAAAAATAAGGACACTTATCAAAGCTTAGCCCATAAATCAATGGAAAGCTTGAACTTCAAAAAATGAAAGAAATACCAATTTATATGTTTGCAATAACTAACACATTGTTTTATTGTCAAATTAAATTTTTATCTCAAATTGCAATTTGGTGAATTACCACGTGCTGTCTAAGGTGTTTCATTGTTCTAATTTGAATTGCAATTTCCTATTTTGTGATGCAATAGCGGTGGTGGTGGAATAAAACGATTAAATGCCAAAATCAAAACACTTCTCTTCGGAGAAAGTGACAAACCAAGTTGATATGCTGAGTGAGCAATTCGAACTAATTGGATGGAGATATCCACCTTGAACTAGAACCAAAATCAATCGAACAAACATTACCTGCCAAAAGAAAGAGCCCAGAAGGATGAAAGGAAACTGACCGCACATTATGAGTATCCTGCATCCCAATTGAAAGGAAAAACATCAGAAACATAAAGATGTATATTTTATTTATACACACCTGAAAGGCTAAACCCCATTTACAAAAAGAATATAAATCAAACCTGGATAACCCTGTATGCTCGCTTCACAGCAGTTTTTGAAAAATCAAAAAACCTGGAAACAATCTCCCTTAGAAATGATTGCATAACCAATAAAATGGATAGAAATCTATGCAACAATGACATGCATATGGTGTGCATTCGGGAGAATCCAAAAAGCCAACGCACTAGACATGCGTGTCAACAAGCATGCAGATACAGGAAATCTGTCGACATGCATGTTAGAAAAATTTTCATTTTCTTAGACTTGCAGAAATGGCATGGTCTTCTAGGTCGACGGGCAAGTCCACAGATTGGACAAACAAGACATGACTGTCGGTTTGTATGACACGTGTCTTATTGTTTGGACAAGCATTTTTATAATTTCCCATATGTTTTATTTTTAAAGTTTATGATTTAAAAAGTCACAAATTAATTTCATACATATATAAAATCACTATCAATATATATATATATATATATATATAGGCCCTAAACAATCAAATTAAGGCACACCTCAAAAATTCACTATATGTATATATATAAATATAAATATCTACACACATACATATATGAAAAGTTTATATAAGTGTCAACCTTATAATATTGAAGTAAGGTACACCTCAAAATTTCTCTTGAAGAGAATGTTTTGACATTGGAAAACCTTCCAACTGATCATTTCGACCTCAAGATGTATCAATATAAAAAATAAAAAAAAGAAATTGAAGTCTTACAAACAGTGCATTTTGTAATAAGTTATCTCGAGCGTCTATTTCCAAGATTCTCAGGTGCTTATAGATCTGCTCGATTTGAACTATTTCTTCAATTTTAAATTCATAGCTAGGGATGACAATATTTTCAAGGCATCATAAGGTTTCTGATACCTGAACTACATCTCAAGGTAAAATTTAGAGGTGTGCATTAGTTCTACAATATAAGGAGGGCACCTTGTATAAACCTTGAACCCTATACATGCATGGTGCTTACACATTATATAGACTTGTATGGACATGTCATTCTGGACTTGGCAAAATATTGGTAAGTGAGTGATGTAATGGGTTTTTTAAATTTTACTTTGCTAATTTTATATTTTTAGATTTAGGGTTATTTTGGTTGTAAAGATTTTGAGGGGCAGAATAGGAAGTTTTCTATAGGAGGATTAGGATGTGTTATATTAAAGGTGGAAGTTTAGGTTTGTAGGTAAGATTGGTGGCGGCTTCCTATGTTTATGAGATTTACGTTAGATTGAGAGAAGGAGAGAGGGAGATAGAGAGAGAAAACATGGTGGAAGCAGTGATTCAAAAGCAGACTGCCCAGCGCCTAGGCGGTCCAGAAGGCCTGGGCGCATTGCCCAGGTCTAGGCAGCCAATTTGGGCGGTCGAACCCTAGGAACCTGCCTAGGCGGGCGCCCGGCGCTCAGGCCCTACGCCCCGCCCAGGGGCAGAAAAACCATTCGATGAGGGCAGTTTTTCGTCGTTTTTTTTTTGTGTTTAAGGGCCAAAAATTAGGGTTTTAGGTTCATTTGAAACCTAAAACTTGTTGGAGCCAAATTTACAGAGAGAAAGCCCCCAAAAAACTAGATTGTGGTGAATTTTTTAGGATCGAAGGGTTACTCAAAATTAACAAAAATTGATCAAAGCATCACCCATTGGTATTATATTTACTTTTTTGATGTTTTGCAAAGTTATTAGGAGGTTTTTTTAAAAGATTTTGATTATTTAGAAGCATCTTTGAGGTGGAAGTTTGAAGATTGTGCAATCAAACTCAAGTAAATGATTTTTTTTTTTTATTGCTTTAGTAATTTGCATTATTTTTTTGGATGTCTTCTTCGGTATCTAATAGGAGGGGTGATCCCGGTCGAAAATATGGCTATAACCCAGATACTAATGATAAAAATTGCATAAGATGCAAAGTTTGTTAAAAGGATACAAAATGGGGCATAAACCGGTTCAAGACACATCTTGCCGGTATCAGGGGGGATGTTGCCCCATGTAAAAAGACTCCTGATGCTATTAAAGAGGAAATAAAGAATTTTTTAAAAATTGTGAAAATGAAAAACGATGAGAAAATTGCCTCTATAGTAGAGATTAAGTCTGCGGTTCGGGTCATTTTTGAAGATGCTGATAGTGATGAGGAAAGGATTGGGGAGGGATGTCAAGAGGTTGAGCAATCCATTATTAGGGGAAAGGGGAAGGGAGTTGTAATTGCTTCTAGTTCTGAGACTAAGAAGCCTCGAGTTAGAGGCCCTATGGATAGTTTTTTACCCCGGTCTGACCCTGAGGCTGCAAAAGAGAAAACAAAAAAGCAAACCACCATTGAAAATAGAATCAAGAAGGAAGAGAGAGATAAAGCTGCATATTATCTTGCTACATGGTTTTAAGAGGCGGGCATTCCTTTCAATACCACTCGCTTAAGTAGCTTCTATGTTGCGATAAAGGCAGTTGGCCAATTTGGCCCTGAGATGAAACCCTAAACCCCATATGAGCTTTCAGAGCCTTTTTTAAAAAATGCAGTGAGTGCCACAAAGGAACCTGTAGAACTTAAGAAAGACGCATGAGCTTAGTATGGAGTTTCTATTATGACTGATGGTTGGAGTGATAAGAAGAGAAGAAGGCAGACGAATTTGCTTGTGAATTTGCCTCTGATCATATTCATGATGCCCATTACACATTTCAAGTGATAGAGAAGGGAAGCAAGGAGGTTGAGAAGCATCTTGTTGTACAGGTTGTCACAAACAATGCTGCTCCTAATGTTATGCATCTAATTCGTTTCGCACAGCTTATCCTAGAATCTTTTGGACACCATGTGCAGCACATTGTATAAACCTCACGCTTGAGGCTCTTGGCAGCTTAACCGAGATATCAGGTGCAGTGAAGAAGGCCAAGTTAGTTACAAATTTCATTTATAGCCACCATCTCACCCTCAGCATGATGCGTACCTTTACAAAGAAGAAAGAGATTGTGAGGCCTGGGGTCACGAGATTTGCGACCTGGTACTTATGTCTAGATAGCATACATTCGAGGAGAGTACAGTTGAGGCAAATGTTTATCTCGGATGAGTGGAGAGCATGCAAATGGTCTAAGGATCAGGTTGGGAAGGTAAGAGATATTATCCTTTCAAAGGCTTTTTGGAGAGGCGTGAAGGGCGCTCTTAAGGTATTTTTTCCTCTTGTCAAAGTCCTTCGCATGGTTGATAGTGACAAGCCTTCTATGGGCTACATATATGATGCTTTGGAGAAATGCAAAAGAGAGATAGCCCAAAATTTCAATTATGAAAAAACCCACTACAAGCCTGTTTGGGAGATTATTAATGAGAAGTGGGATAAGCAGCTACATCAGCCATTGCATGCAACTGGTTATTATTTTAACCCAGCTTTGTTTTATTTTGACAAGGATATACAAACAAATGACACAATTATGAATGGATTTAATGAGCGTGTAGAGGTGCTAGTCCCTGATCTTGAAATGCAGGATATTATATTCGCTGATGAGCTAAAAATTACAAGTGCTCAATAAAGTCTTTTGGGACTCCAATAGCGATGAGGCAAAGGACCAAAACTAGACCAAGTATTAATATTCTTAAGTTAATCTTTATCAAGTTCAAGTAATCAAATAATTATATTATTTATATGACTGTTTTCTATATCTTTGCAACCCATTGGTGGAGCCAACATGGGTGTAGTTCTCCAAATTTACAAAAGTTGACCATTCGGATATTAAACCTAACCACTTCTTCATCCAGTTGTGAGCGGAATTGGAGTACTTTTGAAGGGGTAAGTCCGTAAGGGTAATTTGTATAATTTTATAAATAATACATGAACCATAGATATTAGATTTTAATTAGTTTCATTTGATTTTGTTAGATTCATACAAAGAAAAGGAACATGCTTGAATCAAAGAGGCTCAATGACCTAGTCTATGTCAAGTACAATCGATTCTTGAATGATAGGCTTGCTAAGAAAGATAAGAGAGATCCCATCAGATCAAAAAATATGGACCATGCTATGGAGTGGTTAGTTGATGATGATGGTGAGGTCAAGGGGCATGAAAGATTGACATGGGACATGGTCATGGATGCTTCAGGGACATCAGCTGATCCTCTTAGGGCCATTAGATCTTCTGCACAGAGAACAAGGATGGAGGAAGAGGAAGAAGAGGCTGATTCAGAAAAGACGGAGGAAGACAAGGACGACCAATATGTCAAGGAGAGCGACGACTCCATCGACTCTGATGAATATGATGACAGCTGACCCAAGATTTTCTGATGATGAATGAATGATGATTGATGAATATTGATTGTTGAATAATTATTAAACTTTGAAGTTTGAACTTTGATTGAGGTATTGTGTATTGATTATTGAACTATCGAAGATTCTTTTGAGTCTTCAAGTATTACTTTCATAGTTTCATAATTCATTTTTTTTTTCTTACTCATGGTGGTGTACTGCAATACTGGTGTGATACTTTTTGATAATTTGGTTGGTTGGAAAATTTTAAGTTTTAATTGGATATGGAGTATGAACCAACTTATGGATTATGGTTATGCTTATGGAGTGTGTGTTAAATGCTGAATAATATGTAGTACAATTTGAATTATGTACTGCAATACATAAAACTGATACTGACATAACTGCAGAATGCCAGAATCCTTATTTGGATTCAACTGGGCCGCCCAGGTTCTGGGCGCCCGCCTAGGCGCTGGGCTGCCTGGACCGCCCAGGACCCACCTAGAGCTTTTTGAAACTATGGAGGGGAGAGAGAGTTTGTTTTTCTTTGTGGGTTTTTAATTTATTTGTATTCTTCGTTTTAGTTTGTATTTAAATGAAAGGAGGTCCCTTTTGGAGAACTTGGTTATTTTGAAAACAAATGATCTTGTGAAGAGATCTTTTGGGTTGATTCCCTTGCAAACCCTAAGAGAGGGTGTATTCTTTCATTACTTTATATTATTTTTATTTTATTTATTTCTTTCCTATCTTCCTCCATCTTCCTTGCATCAGTGAGTTGGATTCTTCGAATTCGAGCCAGACACATGTTCTAATATCCATGCCCTTTTAGACGTCTGCATTTTTGTTGAAAAGGCTGCAATGAAATACATAAGATACCCCCACATATGACTAATTAAGGCAAGGATGACTTACTTAATAGTATGATCCTTTGCCCCTGAAATCAATACGGTGGCCTGAGGATGGAAATCCAAGTCATTGACAGGCTGCACGCATAAGCATGAAGATTTAAGACACAAAAAAACCTATCTCCAGACAACTTGTTTTTTTACCACTCTAAAAATGATACACTACAAAAAAGATGAAAGAAAGAAATGGCATAACAATCAATGGTCACTGAAACATTTATGCCGCCTAAGTAGAAGTTGCGCAAATATTTCTCATCTTAGTTTGCCAGTATAATTCTCAATAAGAAACTAAAGCTTAGAAGTTGCGCAAATATTTCTCATCTTAGTTTGCCAGTATAATTCTCAATAAGAAAATAAAGCTTGCCTCTATATTAACAAGTAAAGCACAGATATGCAAATTAGGATACTGTTTCAGCCTAGCCAAAAAGCTTTGTTCCAATAAGTCAATCCACCATATTCATTTGACTGGCCTTTCAAAGCACAGTTTCCTTCTTTTTTCCTTTTCTAGCTTTTTGTTTTTTTTGAAGTTAAGTTAGCAAGGATTTGAACCTTGGATACCACATTGCAATCCTAATGCCCTAGCCAATGGGACAAGAACAACTTGTCATAGAACACACAGAAAAGTTTGGATTTATGTTTTAGGACAGATTGAAGGACTAGGAGTTTACCCATATAAATTGAGATTCTTTGATAATTAATATATAATTCCTATTGTGTTAAATTGGATTTCCTATAAAAACTTGTTGCAAAAGCACACAATCACAAAATTCGTAAAGCATAAAACTTAACAGCAGACTCCAAATTTGCTACTTTGCCAGAAAGCATGCATGTGACATCAAAGTCATGAAACAGTGCTTACTTGCAAATGATCATAAAATGTTCGAATAACAGGTCGAACAGGGCCATCCCTTGCATTTGAGTCTGGCATCATCATTTGCTTGACCTTCGAAATCTGAAAAAATAAGGCACAAATATCAGAAAAAGTTAGCATACAACACATCTTCTACAAATCCTGGATAAATAGCAGGGACAGTATATACTCCTATGGGTACTCTTAGTGGATTGTTGTCACCACCCAATAAAAGATGTGCAGAGATGGAGAAAGAGCAAGCTGCAACAACAAAGGCATCAACCTAACAGTGAATACCACTTCCTCAAGTCTCATCATCACCATCGATCTTTTCATTGGATGGTGATGACCCCAATGAAATACAGTCCATAATGCATTCAATTATGGTTTACTTCCTGTAAATAACAGTAACAACCTCAAAGAGTTTGATGGATGTATCTGCACTTCCGGTTGCAACAAATCGCCCATCAGGGCTAAATCTAGCACATCTAGCAGCATTCTACAAAAACAATATTAGTGACATTAAATTTTTACATAAACGAGGATGTCAAATTAGTATCACAGAGTTCAAGCCAAGAAACCACCACGTGCTCAAATCAAGAATGATCAATGGAAGGCCCTAGTTGTGTAAATAATGGAGAATTTCAGTGTAGTGAATTCACTAGTATGGAAAAGCATTGTCCATTGGGAATATCACTATTCAATGAATGAATGGTGGATAGTGATGGAGAGTAAGCAGGACTCCCAAGAACAGGAAATGATCCCAAAGGGAGGGTCAAACTCTCTCTCTCTCTCTCTCTCTCTCGTCTTTGTCATCATTTCAACGGAGTAAAACTGAAATATATGATTTGACAATTACAAGAATATTTTCAAAACAAAAATTGGGCCATCCAAGGGAGAATTGCCCAAAAAGTAAAAAATGAAACTGAAACATAAAGAAGCAGCCAAAGTTGGACAAAAGTAACAAGGACATGTGTTTTGGCAACAAATTCATCCACGTGTAGTCCTAACAGGGCACACAGGCAGGCGCATGAGAGAGAGAGAGAGAGTTTGTCAAGCATGAACAAATTGACCCTACATATGAGAAAATTCAAAATACCATAGGCAGCAACACCATTCAAAACATAAAGCAAGCTCATTAAGAAACTGGAAAAACACACTCAGAACACGATACCAAAACTTAATTGCATTACTTTCAACATTCACCTTGTACCTTATGTTCAGAGATATGTCTAGTTTCATGCTTTGGAAAGCTCTTAGATGAACCTTTAGAGTCCTGCACAGCACTGGTTAAAAGAAAATTTATGAATGACCTAATTAAGGGAAACAAACAAGCAATTACAAAATCTGAAGTATGAAGAACGACCAATATACCTAAAAATAAACAATATGAAACAATTACAGGAAAACGAAGCCAATATCATCTAGAAATCATGCAAGCAAAAAATGTAAAAGAATCAAGTTTCAAAAAAATGTAAAAGAATCAAGTTTTCTACAAACAAGATGATATATCTTGTTTAATCTTTCCTTTTTCTTTGAAACAACAACACATTTCAACTACTACCAAGATGAAATCTAATGCAGGAAATGTTGGGTCACCTGAAGTCAAGAGAATGTGTTGGAAGAGTTGGGACCAAACCATATCCTGCAGAAATCACAGTCCCTCCTCCAGTGGGATCGACAGTAGAAGTAGGAGAAACCCCCCTCAATGCCTCTTCTCTCTCAACTGCAAGACCCTGTAAACACCTCAGACCCCACAGAACGAAGAACTCCCAAACCCAAAAAGCAAACACTTTCGAGATTGAACGAAAATGCAAAAGAAAGCCTATATTTGAAAAAAAAAATTATGAAAGAGGCCCATCTGTGGAAAAGTTGAAGAGAAAAATCCAACATCCAATGATACGATGGAGGACAACAGATTCAAAAAAAAAAAATTGATACAATCGAGGACAAGAAAAAACAACTCAGTGAACACTGATGGCAAGAGAGTGTGAACCACGGCCCATCACCATCCATCATCCCATTGGATGATAAAGCGCCCATTTGATTTTCCATGGTTCATAGGTCGCACTCATTACAGTATCTACTACCAACTCAAAAAACTTGAAGCTAACCATTGAAACCCAAGAACCCTATCCATAATCTTCAAAGAACAAATTGAATAGAAAAACCCAGATATCCATTCCATTCTACCATTATAGACTTCAATCAGATGAAAGAAGAAGAAGAATAAAATCCTAACATTAATCCTAGCTCTAAATGAATAATAGCAGTGTTTAAAAAACCCCTAGGCGGGTCCTAGGCGAGCTGTGGGGTCCAGGCCGCCCAGCGCCTAGGCGGTTGCCCAGAACCTGGGCGGCCCAGTTGAATCCAAAAATGATTCTACAGTTATATATTGTATAAAATATAAGAATTAAGTATTTAGGGCACATCAGAATTCAAAGTATACTACACATTAGCACACACTCCATAAGCATAACCATAAGTCGGTCCATATCCAATTAAACTTAAAATTTACCAACCAAATTACCAAACCAAAGCTACCAAATACCAAACCAGTGGAGCTACAAATCCACTATCCACAATACACAACCAAGAGGAATGAAAGTAATACTTAAAGACTCAAAAGAATCTTCAATAGTTCAATCAATGTTCAAAGTCTAATTATTATTCAACATTCATCATTCCTCATCAGAAAAAGTAGGGTCAACTGCATTTGCATCATATTCATCGGAGTCGTCACCCTCCTCGACATACTGGTCGTCCTCCTCCGTCTCTTCTGAATCTACTTCCTCTTCCTCCACCCTCGTCCTCTATGCAGAAGATCTAGTGGCCCTAGGAGGGTCAGCTGATAGCCTTGAAGCATCCATGACCATGTCCCATGTCAATCCTTTATGCCCATCGACCCCATTATCATCAACTAACCACTCTATAGCTCTCTTAGCAAACTTATCCTTCAAGAATCGATTATACTTGACATAGACTAGATCATTGAGCCTCTTTGATTTAAGTATGTTCGTTTTCTTTGTATGAATCTAACAAAATCAAATGAAACTAATTAAAATCTATGATTCATGTATTATTAATACAATTATACAAATTACCCTTATGGCCTTACCCCTTAAAAAGTACTCCAATTGCACCCAACTGGATGATGAAGTGGTTAGGTTTAAGATCCGAATGGCCAATTTTTGAAAATTTGGAGAACTACACCCATGTTGGCTCCACCAATTGGCTGCAAAAATATAGAATAAAATCATAAATAAATAATAGAATTATAAAAAATGCAACTTGATTACTTGAACTTGATGAATTTAAGAATATTATTACAACCTGGATCAATTTTGGTCATTTGCCTCATTGCCATTGAACTCCCAAAAGACTTTAATGAGTACTTGTAATTTATCAGCTCATCAAGGCATATAATATCCTGGATCTCAAGATCAGGGACTAGCACATCTATACACTTATTAAATCCAGTCATAATTGCATCATTTGTGTGTATATCCTTGTCAACATAAAAAAAAGTTTGGTTCAAAGAATAACCGGCTGCATGCAATGGCTGATGTAGCTGCCTATCCCACTTCTCATCAAAAATCTCTCAAACAGGCTTGTAGCAGTTCTCATCATTATCAAAATTTTGGGCTATCTCACTTTTGCATTTCTCCATAGCCTCATATATGTAGCTCATAGAAGCCTTGTCACTATCAACCATGCGAAGTACTTTGACAAGAGAAAAAAATACCTTAAGAGCATCATTCACACCTCGCCCAAAAGCCTTAAAAAAGATAATAGCTCTCACCTTCTTCCCAACCTAATCCTTGGATCACTTGCATGCTCTCCAGTCATCTGAAGTAAACATCTGCCTCAACTGCACTCTCCTCGAATGTATGTTATCTAGGCATAAGTACCAGGTCGCAAATCTCGTGACCTCAGGCCTCACAATCTCTTTCTTCTTTATAAATTTATGCATCATGTTGATGGTGAGATGGTGGCTATAAATGAAATTTGTAACTAACTTTGCCTTCTTCACTGCACCTGATATCTCGGTTATACCGCCAAGAGCTTCAAGCATGAGGTCTATACAATGTGCTGCACATGGTGTCCAAAAGATTCTAGGATAAGCTCTGCGCAACAAATTAGCTGCAGCAACATTATGAACAGCATTGTCTGTAGCAACTTGTACAACAAGATACTCCCCAACCTCCTTGATTCCCTTCTCTATAACTTGGAATATGTAATGGGCATCATGGATATGATCAAAGGCATCAATAGACCTCAAAAAAATAGTCCCTAAAGGACAATACAAGCAAATTCATCTGACTTCTTTTCTTCCTATCATTCCAAGCATCAATCATAATAGAAACCCCATACTGAGTCCATGCATCCTTCTTAACTTCTATAGCTTCTTTCGTGACACGCACCGCTTTTTTCAAAAGAGCCCCTGAAAGCTCATATGGGGTTGGGGGTTTCATCCCAAACCCAAATTGGCCAATTGCCTCTACTGCGGCATAGAAGCTGCTTAGGCAAGCGATATTGAAAGGAATGCTCGCCTCAGAAAACTATGTAGCAACATAATAAGCAGCTCTATCTCTCTCTTCCTTCTTCATTCTATTTTCAATAGTGGTTTGCTTATGTGTTTTCTCTCCTGCAACCTCAGGGTCAAGCCGAAGCAAAAAACTATCCATAAGGCCTCTAATCCGAGGCTTCTTACCAGAACCAAAAGCAATTACAACTCCCATTCCCTTTCCCCTAATAATTGATTGTTCTACCTCTCGACATCCCTCCCCAATCTCATCCTCATCACTATCATCATCAACATAATTGACCCGAACCCCAAACCTAATCTCTGCTATGGAGGCAAATCTCTCATCTTTTTTTATTTTTACCATACTCAAAAAATTGGTTATTTCCTCTTTAACAGCATCAAGAGTCTTTTTACATGAGCAACATCTCCCCTAATACCGGAAATATGTTCTTGAACCGGTTTATGTCCCTTTTTGTATCATTCTCACAAAACTTGCATCTTATGCAATTTTTATCATTAGGATCTGAGTTGTAGTCATATTTCCAACCAGGATCACCACTCCTATTAGATCCCGAAGAATACATCTCAAAATAATACAATTTATACAAGCAATAAAAAAAATTACTTACTTTGATTGCTCAATCTCCAAACTTCCACCTTAAAGATACTTCTAAGGACTCAAAATCTTCTAAAAAACTCCCAATAGATTTATAAAACATCAAAAATTAAATCTAATATCAATGGATGATGATTTGATCAATTTCTCATAGCTTTGAGAAACCCTTCAATCCTAAAGAAATCACCAAAAACTAGTTTTTTTGGAGGTTTCTCTCTCTAAAATGGGCTCTAATTCCGCCTTTGGACGGGGCGCTGGACCTAGGCGGCCACCCAGGTCTGGGCGCTAGGCGGCCGCTTAGGCAGTTTCCCGGGCGCCCAGGAACCTCCGCTTTTTTTGGGCGCTTAGGTGTGGGCGATGCACCCATGCCCCCAGATCCACCTAGACGGATGCTCAGGCGCTGGGCGGTTGGCTTTTTAAAACATTGCATAATAGTAATATTATACCAAAAAGAAAATACAAAATTAAAAGAGAACAAAAAGAAAATACAAAATTAAAAGAGAACATAACTCCCAACCCAGGAAGAAAGTCATAGAAAAGGAACTAAAACCAGATTCCAGAAGAGTTTAAAAAGTTCTTCAAAACCAGCACTAAGACTAAACTAGAGAACTCACCAAGGTCTTGCAATTAAACATTAAACGGTCATACCCAAAGAAATCACAATATTCAGTTCTTAATTTTGACATTATGTACCGCTTAAGGGTTTCAAAATAATTCCAAGAAATTGCTGAGAAAATAAATTATTACAACACAATGCACTGCTCTATCAATAGCAAGAAAATCTATAGAGAAATAAATTCAATAAGTTGGTAAGTTATAAAAAATATAATTATATAAGTTGCTGAGTAAAACCATGAAACAACATACAAAATCCAGTTTTGTGTTCCATTCAATGCGAGCTTTAATAGGGTTTTCCATCCATTAGTATCTCTTCATTTGCTGCCATTTTTGGGTCAATGTCTAACTGCAAGTTGCAACTTTCATGAGTCCAAAACTCAAAATCTCCCCCTTTTTTCATTTTTTGGAGACTATGAAACCAATTATTTACCCTAAATCCCTAATCTTAAGAAAGCCTAGTATAAGAAAGAGAAAGGAAACCCTAAAACTGACCTTGGAGACGAGATCAACAAGCTTGTTCGAGGGGACCTCAACGTTCAGTGGTGTCATAGTTGCAGAAGCCACAGCTATTGCAGCCTGTCAAGAATCAGATATTAGGGTTTTCCAGTTCTGGTTTCAACCATGGTTTCCCAGACAAAAGTTAGGGACTTTACCTGGTTCAAGTTGTTGTCCCTCAAGTGTGAAACAATAAATGCATTGACTTGGCGGAGGAGCTTGCCATCCTGCAAAGTCTGCTCCAAACTTATGTCCATTATAGACCCCTCTGAGTTCCTATGGAAATGCCTAGAGGTCAATATTCATTTAAGGCATTTAAGCTTTCTGAAACTGTTAAGCAACTCGTCTCCACTGAAATTTCCATTAGAAAGATTTATAGTTTCTGAGAAAAGCAGAGAAAGCCATCACCGTTGAAGAAACTAAGACAATATTTTTTTGCAGGTCAAAACTCCGATGAACAATTAGGGTTTTTTTGAAGCAATTCGAAGAGAGACGCCATTAAAGAACCTTCCAAAGCTACCTCTGCAACCATTTGAAAGTAGGTGGACCAAAATGGTACAAATAATTTACGCAAATGACACAAAAGTTTATACTTTATAACGATTTGAAATTCCTTTCTTCTCTTTTTTTTTTTTTAACTTTTATATGCTTCCCGTAAAACATAAAGCTTATATATTTCCTCTTATCCAACCGTCCATTCTGGATGGAGGACTAAGATTGCCCCCATGTCACATCTCTACACTATTTTATTTTTAATTTTTTTTATAAAATATTTTGATACCCAAATTTTATACGTTCAATCCTCTATTAAACTCATACTAGCAAAAAATATAAAAATGATATTTTTAATAAAATAAAATAACCAAAATACCTCTGAAAATTTCAAGGGGTATTTTGATCATTTTATTTTATCAAAACAATATTTTTAATATTTTTATAAGGATGCCCCAATGAGAAGATGACACGTACCAAATTTATATTCATACAATTTGTATAAAAAAACAAAAAATAAAATACTTTGAGACGTCAAATCTAAGATCAAATAGTGAGTGGCTCTCTTAATCAAAACTGAACGGTTGGATGGTAGGGGAAGCATAGATCTTCAATGTTGTAGGAGAAGTATAGAAACCTTTCCCATTTTTTTTTTACATTCATATAGAAAAATTATTTTATGCGGATTGGACCGTAGTTCTAAATATTCAGTCTAGAAAAGTGTTAAGCATCTATCTTAAAGATGGATGCAGTAGGTGTTCCATCTAAAAATAATGGAAATTAACGGTCCAAATGTTTCCTTATTAGAATTATTATTTTTATTTTTTAAAAGTTATTTATTTTTTCATATTCATGGTCTCTAGGTTAGATAGTACATGTCTTTAAAAATTAAGTCCTAAAATCCATCTCAAAAATAGATTTATTAAAAGGCCTGCCCACATTTCTACATATGTGGATGTGGCCACATAGAAACAAGGTCCATTCATATATCTCAACATTAAACTAATCAATTGTAAGCAGTGGTTTAAAAAACGGATCAGTGCCCCGGATATGGCACTCAAAAAACCCATCCGGATCGGTGAATCGATGATCCGAATTGGGAATCGACGATCCGGATCAGGAATCGTCCGACTCGATCGGATTAAGCTTTAAAAAAATCTAAAAAAATTATTAAAATTCATTGTAAATGTTGTCTTTTAGGAATCCAATAAGAAACAAGGGTACTACATTATTAACTTTCATTTTTTTTATCAATTTGTGAATATTGAGACGTTATAAAATCATAGAATTATCATGGATAAAGTATATCAATCATGCATAGACTACAATAAAGAGTAGACTAAATCGATGCAAAAATGGCCACTAAAATTTCTAATTCGCAGAAAACCCCAATCCGCTATAATACAAAATTATTACAACCTAACTAACTATAATATTATATACTGAAATTAAAATTGTTGGTTAACATTTTATAATTATTTTATTATACAAACAATAACAAATCCAAAATATTTTATAATATCATCTAATTTAAAATGTATTATTGACAACTATAAGAAAAATAGTACATTACATGATTTATAATGCAAAAATTAATAAATAAAATAAAAATTTAGTTATCAATGTAGAAATTATTTGAATGTGTATCAATTTTCTAAATAAAACTTCAATTTTTCAAAATTTTAATTTTTTAGATTCTAGAATAAATTTAGTAAAAAGGATTGTTAATAGAAAGATAGAATTTCAAATAAAATATTTTTTTTTTTAACAATATTATTTTCTGCTTATTTTTTATTTTTTTTACAATAAAAATAGTATGTTACATGATTTATAATGTAAAAATTAATAAATAAAATAAAAATTTGGTTATCAAAATTATTTGAATGCGAACCAATTTTCGAAACAACACTTTAATTTTTCAAAATTTTAATTTTTTAGATTCTAGAATAAATTTAGTAAAAAAGATTGTTAATAGAAAGAGAAAATTTCAAATGGAATAACATTTTTTTTTTAACAGCATTATTTTCTGCTTATTTTTTATTTTTTTTACAACAAATTTTTTTTTTTTAACAACATTATTTTCCCCTTATTTTTTATTTTTTTAACAACAAAAATAAAATAATGTAGCACGAGCTGTTTATTTTTTTACAACAAAAATAAAATAATGTAGCGCGCCCGAAAACCTGAGATGCCCTTCAACTAAGAGGAAGCAATAACCATAAAGCCACGCTGTGGCAAGTGTATTAAATTTCCATAGTAATGATACTTATTCACCGTTTATTTTAATTTAATGCACTTTATGGGAATTATCCCACATCAAAGAATGAGTATCAAAATTAGTGATATAAATAGTTTCGTTGTACCTCATTAATTGCACGCGTGAAAACGTGGGGCTACGATGCTATGGGATTGAAAGCTTGCCACGTGTGACTGAGAAGGGTTGAAGGCTTGCCTTGTGCTTGCCATGTGTGATCGAGAACCGGTATCATGTGACCGGTTCTCCCCAGTTTATGATGTCGTATAGGTGGTTTATTGAGAAGGGTTGAAGGTTTATTGTTCAGAACCGGAACCGGTATCATGTGAACGGTTCTCCTCGATTTATGACGTCGTATAGGCGTTTATTGTTCAGAACCGAAACCGGTATCATGTGATTGGTTCTCCCCGGTTTATGACATCATATAGGCGTTTTATTGTTCAAAACCGGAACCGGTATCCTGTGACCTGTTCTCCCCTGTTTATGACGTCGTATAGGCGGTTTATTGTTCAAAACCGGCACCGGTATCATGTGATTGGTTCTCCCCGGTTTATGACGTCGTATAGGCGGTTTATTGTTCAGAACCCGAACCGATATCATGTGATCGGTTCTCCCCGGCTTATGACGTCGTATAGGCGGTTTATTGTTCAGAATCACAGAATCATGTGATCGGTTCTCCTCGGTTTATGACGTCGTATAGGCGGTTTATTGTTCAAAATCACGGTATCATGTGATCGCTTCTCCCTGGTTTTTGACGTCGTATACGCGGTTTATTGTTCAAAATCAGCGGTCCTGATCTAGAACCGTACGGTTCTCGGTTTTGCTTATTGTTTAGAACCGGCGGTTCTGATTTAGAACTGGGCGGTTCCCATCTAGAACCAGGCGGTTCCTAGTTTTGAAAAGTAATCGGCACCGGGATACTGATTCCCGTGCTGACTTGGGCGAGTCCGTTGCGACTCACCGATTTTTAAATCACTGATTGTAAGGCTTTTCCAATTTCAACTGATTGTAAGGCTTTCCAATTTCAATTGAGAACCGGGCGGTTCCCGATTTTGCTTATTGTTCAGAACCGGCAGTCCTGATCTAGAACTGGGGGGTCCCCGATTTTGCAAAGTAATCGGCACGGAGATACTGATTCCAACGCTGACTCGGACGAGTCCGTTGCGACTCGCCGATTTTTAAATCACTGATTGTAAGGCTTTCCAATTTCAACGGATTGTAAGGCTTTCCAATTTCAAAATACTCTTTTCTACTGAATTTTTAAGGAGTACCTTACTTGTATAGTGAAATGTTTAAAAAAACGAATTGATGACCCGAATTGGTGACACCCATACTAGTGTCAGATTGGTGGATCGGTTCAAAGAATCGGTCGAATCGACAATTTTTGTCCCAATGTTTTTTCAAAAAATCATTTTAAATCTTTTAAAATAGTGTTATTTTAGTTTCTAAAAGAAATTAAGAGTGATGCAATTTGTATTTTCATTACTTTGTAAAAATCCATGAAGACTGAGACGTTTTCCTGTCTGGATGTCAGCATAATTATTAATTATAATGTAGTATCATGATATTGCTTCAAAATAATTTAAAAATATTAAAAAACACTTACATATTATCAGATTAAAAATAATAATTTTTCATATAAAGTGAAATTAGTATTACATTAAACATTTATTAATTTTCTTTATTCTTCAAAAATTATCACAATCTAACTAACTATAATATCATACATTGAAATTAGAATTATTGATTTATATTTTATTATTTGATAATCATTTTACTATACAAATAAGAATAAATTTGAAATTTGGCTTATAATATCATCTAATTTAAAAATCTAAGTTACAACTATAACAAAAAATAATACATTGTATAATCTATAATGTAAATAAAATATAAGATTTGGTTATCATTGTAATTAGTATAATAATTAATTACAATATTATAATAAATATGATTCAAAAAACAAGGGTATGATCCACACAAATATATAAATATAATGTATAATAATTAGTGTTGATAGAATATAGAATTTAGAAACATAATTTTATAGAAATTTAGAAACATAAATTTATAATCATATTTTAATAAAATTAAGAAAATAAATAAATAAATAAATTTATTCGTGGGATAATTGAAAAAGCAACTTGAAGATAAATTAAAAAATGGTATGAGCTAGTATTATTTTTCTTTCTTGAAATATCCCATAAGCTAGTATTTTCTGTTAATGATCAATAAACTAGTATTAATATTATTTTTTGCTCTTTTTATTATCTTATGAGCTAGTACTATTTTTTTAATCCCAATTAGCTAATAGTTTAATATTAAACATATAGTGAAATAATCCCAGTAGCTAATAAAAGTTCATTCAATGCGGGCGTCTATTAGACTATGAGTGAGACAATGGGACAATGGACTAATTCAATGGAACTTTAGAATTATAACTATATTGTCTATCAGTGTTGCACCTACTAGTCCATTCAATGCAACGCCATCAATTTTTGGGTGAGAACAATGGAGTATGAGAATTATCCGACATCAAAGAGATACAGGAGAAAAATCGCATATATAAAAGCAAT